TTAGAAAAACGATACCCTTTTCAAATATTCCCCCTCCTGCATTTCCGTTATGGCACAGCGTACGCGCTAATTGCTACACGAGGCTGTCAACGTACAGGGGGGAAGTATAGTCAACCTCCACAACAATATCTCAGGGCGTGCTGCGACAGCCAGGCGCTAAAATAGCCAAAAAATACCACAATCAACTCGTGCCGAAATCACACCGTGACAACCTCGATGGTGTTATTAATCCCTAGCGTTGCGAGGGGATGCCTCGATGAAGTAATCAATCTGTAGTGTTGCGAGGACAAGCCTCAGTGATGTAATCATGATAACGACGATAATAACGGTGATAACCGCCTAAGGGAAGAAATTATTTTAACCCCCCGCCAGTTCGCAGTATTAATTTTGTTGATTTAACTGCCGTAAATGACTATTAGCGATCTTGTGTGAAGAATTAAGAAGTGTTATAATGTAACACTTACGTATATGCATCCAGAAACTTATTCGTAGTTTGTTAAACAAAGAATTATTATTCTGACTAAATGAACTTCATGAAATCTTCTAGCAAGTGGTTTATTTAAACAATCCTGATTGTTAAATTGAATTAACACTAGCTGACGATTAAGAAAACTAACTTGATTGGTGAATTTACAAACAATAAAACAAATTTACAGCACGTGTTCCTCATTGAAATATAGCATATATTTTGATGAAAATCCGCAAGAATTATCCGCGGGGGTTGGGGAAAACTGCGTCTTCCTAGAAGTTACGATTGTTTGTCGTTAAACAAACGCTTCCTCCCATTTATTAACTACCAAAGCAACTAATTTAAACTAGCTCTTACCACGTGTTTCCAATCACAAAAACACATCCAGACTGACGCTCCGCCATGCCGCCCTCTGTCTCTGCCAAGCCGCCCTCTAATTAAAACATACATAACTACCTTGGGGCTTGGTTGCCTATGTTTAACGATTTTTAATTGAATTTTTTCTTTCAAATTCAAATTATTCAAATGTGATTTCGCGCCGCTGAAAATTTTGATTTAAATTCGGTCACCACAATATATGTTCCGTCTCTGGGTACAAGTTTTGTTTTTTCGTTTTTTTTTCTTATTTTTCTTTTATCAGTACCGATGTAAACGCTTCGCTCGCAACTCTTGCTAAACGCCGTATAATGTGTTGCGGCCTATAAACATATAGTCGGAGACTAGTCGGAGAGACTGGACGCCCGAGTCTTTCCCTACCACAATTGAATTCGAACCGACAACGGTAACGGTTTTGCCTTCATATGTTGACCACAAAAAAATTCCGCCACATGCCCCAGAAGCACGGGCAACCTAACCTTTTCTGGGTAAGTCCATTTTTCTGGCACTGATAAAGCTACATGTTTTTTTTTTAGTCCTTCGGTTAGCTGAATTAGCGAGGGTTGCAACGGGTCTAACGTGTTTTTTGTTAGTTTTTCTTCGCATGGCCATGGGGTAGTGGTTTATTTTGCCTTTTTTTTTGCTTCATAACCATCATCACAAACATCTTACAATGGAGTCGTTGAAGTGAATACGTTAGCAAAAAAGGCTGCACATAACCTCTTGAAGACTTGAGTTCTGAATATAAGTACCACAACACGATCATTGGTCTAATAGACACAGATGCTTTTAGTGCAGAGGATGATATTCGAAAGTTGTTCGACTCGATATATTTTAAAATTAAAAAGTCCGCTGAAACGAAGAAATCATTTTCGGTTGCTCCCGCCCCTAAATCTAATATCAAGCTACACACAGTACAGCTGCCGAACTTTACTGGAGATATCACGACATTTGCCCCGTTCATGGACATGTTTAGTTCATAAATCTACTGACCTAACCTAATTATTTGGTTTCGTCATTGAAAGGCGAAGCTAGAGCCCTTATTGAAAATCTGCCGGTTACCGAGAACACTTATCTAACCGCATACTCTAAACTCAATAATCGCTATAAAAATGGTAGACAAATACTGCATGCCCATTGGAATGCGATTGATAATGCCGCGAAAATTAATTCGGACCATCCTCAGGAAATTCGAAGTCTGATAAGACACATTCTCAAAACATTTAAATGCTATATGTAATTTTATGTTCCCTAATTCCTACGTATCACAAACTTTACCAGTTTTTAGAGCAACACCGTAGCGCTTTAGGCAATGCGTCTCCTGCTAAACCCCAAATAAAAAAGTTTGGTTCTCAGAAATCTGTAACGGTACAGTCACGCTTTACCACCTCATTACTGGCTAAGTCGGATTCTTTAAAATGTCGTATTTGTAATTTGCATCATTTAATTTATCGATGTCAGGAATTTCTTGCGAAAGCCCGCCGAGAACGCTACTCTATTGCTAAATTAAAGCGCTTATGCCTTAATTGCCTGGGCAATCGTTATTTGAGTAACGCGTGTCAGTCTTCTCATAGTTGTTGTCAATGCGTCAGAGGCATCATACTCTGCTACATTTTAACTCGGAACTCGCGGGCGATTCTCAGGAATCTAAATCAGCGGAAGCTAACCCCTTAACAATTTAGAGTCGGGCTCGCCTGCTACGGGAATTTTATTGGCCCCTGCCTTAATAGAAGTTTTTGCCAAAAACGGAAGCTATAAATTCCTTACAGTGCTTTTCGATTGTGGATCACAAAGGACCTAATTTTTCAAAAAGTCTTCAAAGGGCTTTGTCCAGGGGGGGGGGACATGGGACATTTTCTGCTCCTTACTTCGCCATTCGTACCTTGTTGAAATTGAGGGAGCAAGATGGCTCATTATTCCCCTTAGCCGCTGCCGCTCTGCAGACAGACACTTACATGGACGATATTGTCACCGGTAGTAACTCATATCAAGAGACTTTAAAGTTGAAAGTGGAACTTATTGCTCTCCTCCAGCGCGGAGGTTCTGAGCTACGCAAATGGGCCTCCAACGATCCTTCTCTAATCTCGGATCTCCCCACCTCTCATGTTTTCATATATTTCGATCCGTTGGGTATTTTAATCCCGCTTACACTCTTCATCAAGCATTGAACCAACGAATTTGGACCCTTAAGTTAGCTTGGAACGACTCGCTCCATCTAGATATTTTACGCGCGTTTTTTACGATAATTTTCAACCGTGTGAACTTCATGGTTTCGCTGATAGCATAGAAAAGAGCTACGCCGTTGTATTCTATTTGTGGTTTAGCTTCGCATCGCAAGAACAGCATACTCATTTTGTTTATGCTAAATCCAAAGTAGCACCGCTCAAGAAGATTACTATTCCGAGATTGGAGTTGTCTGCTGCAGTTTTGTTAATTCGTCTCCTTAATTTTGTTTGTCAAATTTACAAAGACAAACTTCTGTTCCGTCGCATTTGTGCATGGACAGACTCACAGGTAGCTCTAGTTTGCGTTAAATCGCCTCCGCACCACTGGGAGACATTCGTCTCCAATCGCGTCTCGTTTATTCAGGAGCATCTGCCCTCCGCATCCTGGTCTCATGTACCATCTGGTCAGAACCCTGCGGACATAGTATCTAGGGTAGCATACCCTCATGAGTTGCTGCTGAACAATTCCTGTGGTGGGTGGGACCTTCGTTTCTAAATAAAAACATCATTAAAATTAAAATGTTAAACCGACGGGTAACTTCAATGGAAAACAAAAGTACCCCAATAAATTCTTAAATGACGATTTTATGTCACTTTTAAATACGCATTGCTTGCCGCCTTGTATGCACAATAATCGCATGCGTACGATCTGATCTCCAAATCGACCATTAAATGTCGTTTCAAATTTTGTTTTGTTTTGCCTTTGTATGAACATTTCGCACATTTATATCGTCCTTTTTTTTGTGCTTCATTAAAGATGAATTATATTTAGTTCTGACGTTTTAAATCCGACGAGCGTTTTGTTTTGTATAAAGAATTTTCACATTCGTACCATCTGGCGTTTTTTTTCGTTCAAGTGAACGAAGTTTATAATGACACTTTTCGCACTTGTACTATTCACCATCTTCGTCATCTAAATGGATACGATTTATGTAGGTAAATGTCTTTTCGATCTAGTTTCATATGGAAAACTCACTGTGACCCTCTCTTTCGACAGACTCGCACTTTCGAGATTTTCTTTTCTTCCTGTGCATGCTGTAGTATGTTGAAGCCACTTCATTAGAGATTTGTTTGGAAATCACATTTTTCGCAAACGTAGTTTTGTATGCAGAAGTCGTCTCTAGGTAGATCTTCTCCAGGCTCTTTTTTAAGGCCGTGAAATTGAATAATACACTTCAATTTCGGCTTTTCCGCAAGTAAACTTTTCCAGGGATGAACGGTGTCGCCGCACGTGGTTGATCATTAGAAAAACCGAAGTTGTAAAGTATGCATATAGTTTACAGTTGTGCAGGTTTTTACATGAAGATCTCCAGCTTGTTCCGAATGCTTTACAGTATTCCAAAGTTGACATTTTGTCTACCTAAAACTGTTTTATTACACCATGGAACAATACTAGTACTTTTTTACTTACCCAAAGTTCGTTGGAACACTATTAACACGGGAAACGATGAAAAATTTCTTCACACACGAGCAACTTAGACGCACCCAACATCAAAAGACGACAACTGAAACAGTGAAACTGGTATACTTCTCCACGTGGAAGGAATATATATTTACATATTCTCCCCTCCGCGGAACTTCACGTACAAAAACACAGAACAATGGTCATCGTTTATCCCATCCCCCATTCTAACTTTCTTTAATTTGATTGATTTATTGTGTTACTTTTATATACGCATAATATGCACACATTTTTGCTGGCCCCTCTCCCGGGGCGGGAAGTGGATGGCTCGTACTCAGTCTCACTCCATTTGGCGATTTTCGTGCTGATCCACGATCTAGACGCTGAGTCCTGGCTGGCGCAGGTGAGTGCTTTAAAGAATACTCCTTTCTCCATAAGCTCTTTGTGACTTCCTGCAGAGAAGTGCGACACCATCTTCTGTAGACGCGACCTGAAAGCCGAGCCCCGCTGGGATGATAACATAGCCGCCATGACTGGATCGTCAGCTGTTCGACTCTCCAACCCTTACAACTTGCGAAGAAGAATATTGGGGATAGAAACCGCTAACTCATATACTCCTAAGCCGCCCTCTCTTACTGCCGAGGCAGTATCTTTCCTGTGTTCTCCTGGTGACACAATTAATCCTCCCTCTCAAGAGGGCTCCAGTATTGACGTGGCTATTCCAGTCCAGCTCCAAATCGCTAACTTGGACGGTTTCGACGCTGGCGCTCCTCCTACGGTTAAGGCTTCGCCATGTTGTGTTGAAGCAGTGGGAGAAGTCCAAACGAATATCGAGGAGGGGGCCAAATATATTTTAGGAGATGCGGTGCTTGGTCGTGGCAGAGTATGTATCACATGTGACGCGCGTTTTCACACATTCTCCTCCTTGCGAGAACACGAGCGGTCCCATCATCCTGAACTGCTTGTTCGCGAGGTAGAATACCATCCGTCTGCGGTCTCCATGAAACAACAGTTAGAGGAAATGGCCGCATACGAGATTAAACGCGGGTCGAACATCAAGACCATGGCTAGAGATCTTGGTATTATTATTATTATTATTATTTGAAATTGAACAACAGGTACATGACCCAATTATAGTCCAATTATTAATGAAACTGATATTACCGGCAGCTAATATAGCACAGCTATCATACTGTGGTGCCCTAAAGGTATATTAGTCAGCTAGCAGGTGAATATTAAAACAGTTCAAAGGTATCACAAAACTGGTGGTAGTTGTTGCACATCTCGCTAATGGGAGAGTATTTCAGTACATTAAGACGAGGAGTGGTATGACGGTAGACCAGATCAGATACCGTAGAGGTCTCTCCATGTATAAAGTCATGCTTCGCATGTTTAGAAACTCTTTCCACTTATTAGAACCCGTATCCCAGATAAGCCCTGCTACACCGTCGTCACATTCACCTGTTCCGTGTTCGAGCCCCACTCCTATTACGTCGTCATCTGCTGACCTCACCGTTGAAGATCCTCCCGGTTGCCTGGTTGGCAGCAAACCTATTAGTCTTCCGCTTAGGTCACCCTGTACTACCGAGGTGCCTACTACGCCATATCGTCAGGACCGCTCATCTTCTAGGTCCCCCTATACTACCGAGGTGCCTACTACTCCACATTGTCAGGACCGCTCATCTTCTAGGTCCCCCTATACTACCGAGGTACCCACCCGGTCCTATCTTCCTGGCCCTGATTGTTCTCAGATCGCCGGTCCATGGTGGAACATCCTCCTTGTCGTGCTCCTCAAATTTCACCTTCTGTCAACCCGGATGAAACTACTGTGGAGAGAGTTTTGACTTTGGTTTCTCCGGAGTTTACGCAAAACTATGCCGACACGAATCTCCAGGTATGGGATAACGCCTCAGTGCTCGACACCATCATTCCCGAGCAAATCTCCATTTTGAGCAGCCCCCCTAAACGTCTCCCCCCGCTCTCTCCTCCGGTATCGAGAGCTACTGTTCGCCCCATCTCAGGAGATCCCCTCCCTCTATCCCCGGTTGCGGCAGTTCAATCTTTTGTTCGTACAGTCTTCGCCAAACAACTTCGTAGTCGTTCCAGATACCCCTTGGAGCAATGGTTGGATAAAATCAACATCCCTGATCCAGCGGCTTGGGTGGACACTATCGAAGACATGCTTTTGTTGTTGTTTCCTCTGGACGAAAGAGCGAAACAAAAGAAGGTTTCGGCTGGTAAGTCTGCTGCGAACAATGGTGCCGCTAATAGGAACCAGAAACGCATGGCGGATTACAAGAGCACGCAGGACCTGTACGCCAAGGATCGCAAGAGACTGGCTGACAAAATAGCTTCCGGCGAGCCTCTCGATGTACCTACAATCTACCCGGAGATGTCTGCCATAATGGAGGTCCATGGAAACGTTTTCCTCTCCGAGTCTCCTCCCGACGACCATCCCTTCCAAACACCTTCGGCCAGCATCGAAACAGAATTTTCCCCAGTTTCAGCTGAGGAGGTTTCTGCGGCCAAGAAGGGTTGGCCACGTTCCGCTCCTGGTCGGGATGGGGTGACGGTGCCTGCTGTGTCCAAGTGCAACAACAACATCCTGGCTGCGCGTTTTAATCTCATTTTAGTCAGCAGGTACCAACCGGTGGAGTGGCGTGCCATGCGAACGGTGCTGATCCCAAAGCCTGGTAAGAACAGGAAAGACGCCTCTAATTGGAGACCGATTACGATTGGGTCGTCTATTCAGCGGCTGTTTCACCGCATTCTCGCAAACCGCTTATCATCTCTGGTCCGGCTCAACAGTAATCAGCGAGGTTTCGTGAAGACGGACGGAACCCTTGCCAACACTCTTATTCTTGACTCCTTAATTAATGGTAGGACGCAGGCTAGGAAGGGAACATCTATGATATCTATGGATATTCGAAAGGCCTTTGACTCAGTTTCCCACCACTCCATAATCAGAGGCCTTCGAAGATTCCAGATATCGCCTTATCTTATTAATTACATTCAGGCAACACTTACCTCGTCATCTACCATTTTTTGTGTTGGCCAAAAGGAGTCGGAATCGGTCCTCTATTAACAGAGGCGTACGCCAGGGGGATCCTATGAGTCCTCTGTTATTCAACATCGTGTTGGATGAGCTAGTCGGGAAGCTGTCTGATATGTCTGAGAGCTGTTCAATGGGCGATCGGGTCAACTGCTCCGTAATTGCTTTCGCCGACGACCTTGTTCTCCTCGCCGAGACCGAGAGGAGTCTTCAGCGCTCCATCAATATTTCCATCGAATTTTTTTACCCACAGGGGTATGGCCGTAAACCCTACGAAATGTTACGCCCTTATCAAACAAAATATTAATGGCGCAGTAGTGCCACTCACCAATTCCTCCATTACCATCCAGGGTCGACAGGTCACTCACATGTCTGATGTCAACCCGATTCGCTATTTGGGACACCAATTTGGAAGCCAAGGACAGATGAAACCTTGCTTGTCCAACTACCCCGTATCGCTCCAAAGGTTAGTCGCCCTCCGCTGAAACCGGATCAAAAATTCTCTCTGCTCAAGACCTACCTGCTTCCCAGGATAATGCACTCCTTGATGGGCACCAAGGTCACCAAGGAAGTCCTGGAAACCCTGGACAAGATGAACAGACAGTACATTAAGAAAATCTTACATTTACATCTACATACCTCTAACGAGCTAATCCATGCTCCCATTAGGGAAGGCGGGTTAGGGGTATGTCAACTAACTGTTTCTGTTCCTCAGATTCTTCTTAGTAGATTGTCCAGGTTGCAGAGTAGAGAGGCTCTTGATCCGGTGCTTGCGGCCATGTTAACGTCGCGGCGGGTTTCCGACTTCAGGGTGCGCTTACAAAAAATGGTGTCCCAATTCCCTGCTGGAGGACATCGGGAACTTATGGAGAAGGGCGTATTTTCGAAGGGTCTTACCTGTGCCAATCAGGACTCCACTTCCAGATATTGGATAGGTACGAGACCTGCTAAATAGAGCGCCGGCGATTGGGTGCGAGCCGTCCATCTTCGCACTACCAATTTGCCGACAGTTGGCATACCATCCAATCCTGTTGAGCTTCGGGGTTGCCGCGGAGGGTGCGGTGCGATGGAGACCGTGTGTCACATCCTGCAGAAATGCCCGGTGGCACATGATGAGCGGATCCAACGACACGACGCGGTAGTGAAGAAAATCGCTGCCCACTGCGTTCGGGAAGGCTGGCGTGTTGAGGAAGAGCCGGGAGTGAGACACGACGACGGAACGCTCTACAAACCGGGCCTCGTCATTTTTAAGACTGAGGTCCGAGCGGTAGTCGCGACGCCCAGGTTTCTTGGGAGACGGGATCTTCGATGCAGGAAGTCTGGAACAAGAAGAAAGCCGTTTACGGCAACGCGAATTTCTTGGCAGCAGCGCGGAAGAAATAGCCGAATACACATTTTACGTTCTTACCTGTCATCTTGGGAGCGATGGGAGACTGAGCTTAACATCAAGCCACCACTCAAGCGCAGCTGCGTGGCATCAACGTTGAAGTGGGGCTGCTCTGCACACAAGACCTTCATGCGAAGAATTTGGAAACTTCCCGCCTCTCAGTGCTTCCGTCAGGGATCCGATTAGGGTGTTCCTGCAACTTATTAATATCTTTAGGGATAATCAAATACCGCCGTATAATGTCCACTTACCGTCGTGCTGCTTGCCTTTCCATCTTCGTATTGGTGCTTTGGAACATCTAGAACGCTTCTTGGGTGAATATCGACTCAGGGGTTCTTCATGGGCACTTTTGCAGGGCTCTGAAACACATAATAGGAACATCAGTGGGTGAATCGAGAAAGATGTCACTTACCAAGCACGGCGACGATGATTCCGAATGGGGTCCAATTTCGGGTGGCGTTGGAGCGGCGTAGTCTGAAACAGAAGTAATTTAAATTATTAAAAACAGCTTAATTAACTAACAACTTATTACTATCCTTATTTACATCTTATTATAACATCTTATTATTATTATCCTAATTATTGTAGTAATACATCTTAATTATCATCACCATAATTATATAACTATATAACTAACTTAATATATCCTAATTCTAATCATATTTACTCCTTAATTTACATCTTATTACCTAATTATGTATTATAAATCTTAATTATACATTTTAGACTTACATCCTAATTATAAATATCTTAATATATATCCTAACTAATTAATGTTAGTGCGCTTATTAATTTAAGTCTAAAATTAACATCTCAAACTTCCTACATCTTAATTTTAATTTACTAAGGTTTTTCTTATAATATACTTTAGGAGTAATATCTTAACATCTATTTATAATGTGCATTATGTACAATCCTCCTGTGGAGGTTTTATATCTTATTAATTTCGTGGGACTAATAGTTATATTAATAGTCATATTCCTTTATTTGCATTCATATTGTGCGTTATGTACAGTCCTCCTTGGAGGCTTTTTTATTAATTAATTAGGCGCTATAGGAATTAGACTTGTTAGTAGAGGCCTAACAATATTTTAATAACTTTTTACTGATTTTCATATTTATTCACTTTTAGGTAAAACCAGAAATGCTTTATGTGTTCAGATTACGTATGACAATAAAGTTTTTGAACAGCGTGGATGAGCTCGTTTGAAGTATGAAGATGGAGATGTAATATCTTCTTTACTTATTGCCTGTTGATTTTGTCTAGGCTAACCAAGATTTCCTTCGTCACCGTGGTCCCCATCAAAGAATGAAAGATCTGCGGGAGCAGGAAAGACTTGGGCAACCGGAACTTTTGGTCTGGTTTTAGGGGAAGAACAACCAGCCTCTGTAGCCATACCGGATAATTCAACAGGCAGGGCTTGATTTGTCCATGAGTTCTGAAGTCGTATCCCAGATAACGGACGAGATTAATATCGGTGACTTGACGCCCTTAGATGTTCACTGAAGATTTGGTGAGTGGTATGACTTATACCATTGATTTTACTCTTAATCAGGGCGTAGTATTTCGCAGGGTTCATTGCCCTATAAGTAAAGAAGTTAACAGCCCCATCTATTGAATTCTGGAGGTCCTTCACGTGCTCGGCAAGAAGAACGATGTCATCTGCAAAGGCCGATACGGAACATGTGTTAATACAGATTGACGTGGACTCTTCTTGACCAACATAAAAAATCGTGGACGATGTGGTAAGTGTCACCTCGACGTAGTCTATAATGTAAGAAGGTGCCTGGACGCGTCGATGGCCCCTGATTATGGAGTGTTGAGATACCGAATCAAAGGCCTTCCGCAAGTCCATCGATGTGAAACTGACATCCTTCCGTGCTTGCGTCCTATCATTGATCAGTCCAGAATGAGAGAGTTTGCAAAATGTCCCGTCCGTCTTAACAAAGCCCCTTTGATTATTATCAAGACACACCGCGGTTGAAAGTCCGTTGGCCAAGAGGCGGTGTAGGAGGCGTTGCACCGTGGAACCAATTGACATTGGACGCCATTTCGAGTGTTTTCCCTGTTTTTCCTCGGGTTAGGATTTAATAGCGTCTTCATCTCCTTCCATTCAATGGTTTGGTACCTCCTGACTAGAATGAGATTAAAGAGTACTTGCTTCAACGTGCGATCTTGGTCATGGTTACCCCGTCCCGACCCGGAGCCGAGCGAGGCCATCCATTCCGGGTGTTATAGGAGAAAATTCTACCCAGATGCTGGAAGATTTCGTATGATAGGGGTGCTCATCGACTGCCGACATCTCAGGATAGATATCTGGACTGTCCAAAGGTTCCCCGTCCTATAGATGTCCTGAACCCTCTTGTACTCCACCGTGCGCTTTTGAGTTCTATTGAAAGAAGTTCTTAAAGACGACTTACCCGGAGCGTGTTTACGTTTTTTAGCCCTCTCTTCTAGTAGAAATATTAGCAGAAGTATTTCCTCTATGACATCTCCCCAGGCATTGAGATCGGTGTTGTTGATCGTTCGCAGCCATTGTTGTAGAGGGTATCGTAATTTTATTTTATGGAGGTTCGAGAAAATTGATTCAACATGTGATCTTACAATCGCCACCGGGGTAAAAAGTTGTTCAGGTTGTGGTTGAGTATCTGATGTAGAAGCACCACTTATTCGAACAGGAGGAGACAGATGAAGAGCAGGTCGAGAGGAAAAAGAATTATCCATGATGGAATGTTGGTTGCAACCGTTCTCATCGAATGTGGAGGAGGAAACCCACACCTACTGATTAACATCCGCGTAGCCACAAAACGCTCTCCACCGTAGTCCGGTTCCTCCGACCCTAATGTAGATATACAATTTTTGCGGGGATGCTTCTGGACAAGTGGAGCCATAATGTTTGAAGGTCCGGCGATCTGCGACCCGTATAAGCCTGGACTGTACGATCTCACGACCACCTCGGTAGTATAGGGTGCAACGAAGGGCAGATCGTGTATACTTATCATTTGTTTCTCGATAGTATTCTCGGCATGCGTGACAGGGGCGGGGCGAGGAGAAGAAATTATGTCGTTAGGGACAACGGAAGAAGGCAGTAGAGGAATTGGTTCTGATCCGGGCAGCGGCTCAGCTGGTTTAGCCGATAAATTGCTTTTCAGCATGTTTATAATTACCTTATACGTCGTGAGACTTCTCCTGAACTTGATCTTATTCTTCCGTTGCTACCATGTTTAATTTCGTATTCGGCCATCTCTTCTAGGGTGACCGCGGCTGGATAGTTTTCGTGTTCCTGAACGAATAATTCCGGATTTTCGGATCTCTCGTGGACCCATAGGGAAGATAATGTGAAGAATCTCCCGCCACACGGCACACAGTCTCTTTTACGACCTACTGGAATACTATAGGGAGCAGCTTCGACTTTCTCCACGAAACATACAGAAGATTCTCCCGGTGCTTGCATGCAACATAGGGAAGCCGTAATCGCAGAGGATCAAAATCTTTTTCAGTCGGGGTTAGGAGCGTAGTAAGAGTAGCGTCGTCAGTCTGGGTCTCTAATAAAGAAGCATTGTCATTTGTAATTACGCCCTCGGTAGCAATACGGGCGTCCAATTGGCTTTCAGTTAAAAGAGAATTATTCCTTTCAATAACGCCCTCGAATCGTTTGCGGTTGCGATTTCGCCGGCCACCGAAGCGTGATATAAATCGGGATGGGCCTTCCGCATATGCTGTCTCAGGCTCGGATATGTTCCTTCCACAAGAGCAAGCACACGAGTGCTCCTCCTTCCCGATCTGTGGCTGTTCGACAAGTTTGTGGCACTCCTTCTTGTGTCTACACAACCCTTGCATGGATCGATATACTTTACCGCAAAATGAGCTAGGGTACTTAAAATCAGGTGTATCGTTGACTAAAGGGGTACCTAAGTCATCAGAACATCCGGTCTGTCTATGATGTTTGAGGCTGGTGGCGTGTTTGAAGGTTTTGTCACACCCACATTTAAAGGAGGTAGAGGGCAATATCTCTTCCGTCAGGTTTATGTGGCCTGGCAGAACCTCCCCAGATGGCGGTGGGACTTTTGGTTATTGTATGAAAGCAGAACCAGGAAAAAAAACCCTTTCCAACGAAACGTCGCGGTACTGACAGGTTTCAAGGCCGGCTCCGATTTGAACGGCCCGAAGATATTAGCAGGTGCGTATCGACCACTTTAAAACTTTTTCCGTTCAAATCGAACCAGTAATAGCCGAGTTTTGCAAAAATTGCAAATCGAAATGCTGGGAATGTTATTTTCGAACACCTAGCCTCCTCCCGAATCCGGATAACATCGGCATCGCGACGCTGATTTTTTGTGAGGATGTCAAATTGAACCTCGCCTAGCACAGCGTGAGAAAACTGATGACAACACGTATACTTCCCTTGATAATAGATTTCCGGCGCCGCTGTCTTTCACGACGTCCAGAAACAAGGGAAGAATATTTAAATTAATAATATTTTTTAATTACAGACGCTCGCTCTGTGAACGCTTTCCCTAAAAGGGCAACAAAAAAAAAATGAAAACCTAACCCAGGCGATAGATCCCGAACCAACGAAGAGTCCCAGGAAGACGTCTGCACCCCGGGAAACCCGTAGGGATGCCGCACATGGAGGAACAAAAATTCCCGGAAGGACAATATCTTCAAGAGGGCGCTATTAGTGTAGAATTCTTTAAATGTACTCAATGTTATTAATAAAGTACGAAGTAGCAAAAAAAAAAGATAATTTTTATCACTGTTATCGCCTGATATACTCCAACACGGTGATTTTTAGTTATACGAAAATTTTCCCGAACTTTTGTCAATTCAAAAATCAATTTCTCGGAAACCGTCCGTAGGATAGAAAAACGAAAATCACAGCGACAATCCGTGTCACGTGCCGCGTTTTTTAATACCCATATAGGGCACAGATTGAAAAACTCGACCTAATTAATTCTCGGAGTGTCCCGTGCTTCTGCACCTTTAAAACTCGATATCTCGAGAACTAAAAGGCCGGGAACGAAAAGGAAAACACTCACGTGACCCTTGAGACGTGCCCCAACGATTAAGACCATTTTATCAAAATCAGACCCGAATCACAAATTCACACTTTGGAAATCGACGGAGCCGAGGTGAAACACGTCCGACCCCACCGTATACCCGCGTCCGAGCGTCCGCGACCGCTGCTTCCGACCTAAGGCACCACTTCCGAAGGCGTGAGGGTGTCCGCACAAGGTCGACCAGACGTGTTTCTATTTCAGCCGCACTAGTCGCCCCAAGGCTTGGCACTGAGGAACGCCGCCCCATGCGTTATAGGCGAAATTCCGGACCGTTACCCACCGTCCCACCGGGATTTCGTCGCAACCTCCTCAATAACATCCAGTTTTGAATAATTGCGAGTGTAATTTGTAAATATAAGATAATGTATTAACTAAATATATAATAGGAGTAAGAGATATACAGTTCTAACTCAAATTGATTGCGATGATACAAATGTTAATTTATAAACACGCCGCAGAAATCCACTTATTTGTGTTTTACTTCTTTATTCTAGTAACGACATCTAACGTGAGGATGATTTTTCCTAAGTTATTATTCACATTTTATAACTTCTCGTCCGACATTTTAAAATTGTACGTTTGTAAATAAGTTTTCGATGTTGATTGGAGTATATTAAACCAGGCCGATGAAAAAAATTATTAGCGATATAATAGTCATTTATTCACAAACTCCTTAAAATGGGTAGAAATATTCATGTGCTATATTTAGGCTGCGGGTGACGGTAACTGGAGTTCTTCCGGTTGGTACCTGAAGGCGGAAGGGTTGAGAAGCGAGACAGAGAAAATCGGTTGATGCCAAAGCTCTTTCTGTTTCTTATTTTCATGTCACCGAGCTTCAGTGGTGCATCGTTACAAGTTTTCTTGTTATAAGTATTGGAGTCTGTTTTGTGACTTTTTTTATATTTTACTTCCCGTTTCGTAAGTAGAGTACCCGGACAGATGTGGCCGATATTACGAGACGATAGGGATGTTATCATCTGCATGTGGCGGATTTCGCTCGATGAGTTGTGGTATGACGTAAGGTGTAAAAAGTGAGATGGGTAGTCACTTCGGCTAACGATCCTAACCCCATTGTTATGTTTATAAATTTGAGGTTCCAGTATAGTTGCTTGAAAGGGCATTAATTGGTTTGCAGATTCACAAGATGTCATCCATGGATTTTTGTGAGTACTGTGATTTCAAAAGTTAATCAGTTGCTATCTCTCAGACTGTTCTTCCCACCTTGGGAGAAACCAGTTAGAGCTATTCACCTCTTTCAATCGTTGCATATTATTGCTATTCGACGACTTATCTGTGTACCTATCCTTATTTTTTTAAATTGTATTGATGTTTGTTACTTGTTTAAACTCCATATTAATCTTAATACTTATTAAGATAAAAAAAAATAGAGTGTAAACAATTTATTAGCAGGCAGTGCTACACGTGTTTCGGTACAAGATTTTCTCTTCTGCACGATGAAGGAACTGTGTACCTGTGTACCGGAACACATACTAATAAATCATTTAACCTCTTTAAAGTTTTTTTTATTTTAATGTTAAGATTGATACCTATATTTGGGTTTGATGATTTTCACACCTCGTTAACAACTTATAAATACTGAACTTAAATAATGTAACTGCCAAATCGTCCGCCATTTTGTCGAGCTTTTGGAAAGGTAAAGATTGGGATTACAATAACAAATTCTATATGTACGCATATTAAATTTCGCGTGTTGATGACGTCATGAGTTACTCGGTGTCATTCCAATGGAGACAGCGTTATTCAAATTTTTCTTTCAGTTCTACAAACTTTGATTTACAACTTTTGTAATTACTTCTGCAGGAAAATCAACGTATTTTACTTCCTTTTAGGTGTAACGAAAATATTCATGCACTTCATCATTTATCCTGCAGTGAACTAGGCAAGTACTTTTGTTATTCAAAAAATCGAAATATCATTTTCGACGTAAGACTGTTACCTTATTATTCCTCTGTACTGGTTTTAAGAGTGCTCCAAAAAGGTCGTTACGTTTGTGTTTTTGTGGAAACCATAATATTATGGTGTGTGTGTGTGTGTTTATATTAGCCTTTTCGACATGCACGTGCGGGAATGAGCCTACCTATTTGTTTTTCCATGTTTGCCCCTATATGTCAACTGTTCTGTGGGTAATCGAAGTTTAAGGTTATGTACCAGAGGGTTTTAATTGTCAATGACAGATATTGGCGGTTTTAGTTTGTGGGGTTAGGTGCGTCAATGTTGTTTTTAATTTTTAACTCTTTTTTAACTGTCTTCGAACGAGATTTGGGTAAGAAGACGGCCACTTCTCTTCCATGGCGTGATGAAATGGTTTTAGGTTGCCAAAATGTCAGCTCTGGAATACTGTGAAACGTTCGGAACATGTGGGAAGTCTTCATGGAAAAATGTTCACAAATGTAAATTATGCCCCTATTTTACAACTGTCCTTACCCTTATGATCAACCACGTGAGACGACACCGTTTTCTCGTGGAAAATTTACTTGCGACAACGCCAAAATTGAAGCTTATTACTGTAAAGATTGCGATTTTAAGACGGAGCTAACAGTTTTGTTCAAAGAACACATTAATAAATATCATGGGCGTAAGAGAGAATCTAGAGACGCTTTATTAAGTGAGGACTTCCACATACAAAATTACATCTGCGAAAAATGCGACTTTGAAACAAATCTCTCGTTGAAGTGGCTTCAGCATACTTTAACATGCACGAGAAATAAAGAAAATCCTCAAAGTGTGACTTCTTCGTCACAGAATGACACATACAGTTTCGATTTCAAGCGAACTGACGAAACAAGTTGGTATTACTGTGTGCAATGTTCCTACAAAGCTAAACTCAAAGGTACTTTAAAATCTCATATTATGAGAAAACACGAGATGAACAAGCGATATGCATGCGAAAACTGTCCATTTAAATGTAGATGGAAATCACTTTTAAAAATACACATAAATCGAATTCACTTAGATGAACATGATGTTGAATGGCACAAGTGCAACAAGTGTGTATTCAAGGCCAAAGCAAAAAGTAATTTAACGAGTCATGTAAAAAGACGTCACTTGAACGATGAAGACGTTAGATGGTATAAATGCAATGAGTGTCTTTTTAAAACTAAAGCTAAAAGTGATCTAAAGAAACACGCAATTAGAAAACATCTAGACGAAGAAAAAATTAACTGGCACGAATGTGAACAATGCCCATTTAAAAGTAAATGTGCGTGGGATTCAAAAAGGCATATTGTTTTTAGACATTTGGATGAAGAAAACGTTAAGTGGCATCAGTGTCATTATTGTCCATATAAGGCGAAATCCAATGCTATTTTAAAGTGCCATATAAATCATCGCCATTTGGATGAAACTGAAATTAAATGGTACAAATGCCATGAGTGTCGTTTCAAAACTAAGTATAAAGTTTGTTTAGAGAGAGCCGCAGTTACAAAACATCTAGACCAAGAAAAAATTAACTGGCACGAATGTGAAAAATGCTCATATAAAACTAAATATGCGTCGGATTTAAAAAGGCATACGATTTTGAGACATTTGGATGAAGAAAACGTTAAGTGGTATCAATGTGTTCATTATCCATTTAAGACGAAATTCAATCCTACATTAAAGTGCCATATAAATAGCCGCCATTTGGATGAAACTGAAGCTAAATGGTACAAATGCGAACACTGCGATTACAATACTAAAAATCACTCATCTTTTTATTCGCACAGAAAGAAACATATTGGGATTTAGTTAATCATAAACCAGAAAGGAATTTTAATTTGTATACATATGTTGTTTGTTTAGCCACTACTTTTTTTAACCATTTATTCAGTCGTCTACAATGTACTATGTTATGTGACGTGGTTTTTTCATTAAGATCATAAATTAAAATTCTATTTTTGTTACATTAAATAAATGTAACAGTTTTAAAAAATAAAATTACATTAGTAGAACACATAGATGCAAAGTTTGTTACGCAATTACAAAATAAGGAATTATCATAAAATTTATTATTGTTTCAATTTAGGATCTAAATATCTTGGGTCTCTCGAGGAACACAGAGGGTGAATGGACCTTGTTGGCAGGTTGCATTAAGAACGCAGCAAGGTTGATTGGTGGACTCTTAAGGTGTTGTGTCTTCAGATCAGGCTGCTTTTTTCCTTCTTCCAAGCCTTCAATGATATCTTGAGTCTGGACCAGGTGTTCTTTATTTATTGTTAATAGTTTATGTATTTTTGGTGGAGCCAAATTTGCCGACATCGGACTAGAGTATCTGGCTCTAACCGGTAGTGTTGCTGTTCTTCTAAATGTCAGTGGATTTTGTTTTGGTCTCTATGTTCTCTCCCGATTTGAACTGGTTTCTGGTCGAGCGGTTTTTCCAATTTTCTGGCTTGACTTTTCTTTCTTTAATCCTGGAAATTGTCCCTTCAATTGTTCTGCAGTTTGTGCTTTGTATCTAAGACAATTGACATATTTTTGTATTAGAAACTTGACAGTATTTTTCCCATTCAGAATTCAAATTTTCTTGTGATATTTACTAGTGAATCTAGCTCGGTTCTCTTTATATGTATGATTTGGTTTGATGAGCGTCCAAACTAATTAATTTGATCAGGTGATCTGTTGGCGGAAATGAAAACATCACAGAATCGGTTACTAACGTATATTACATTATGGCACATTACAGGAGAATATTCGACGAGCGTAACATAGTCGCGCTGGTAGCCACGCGGACGGTCGTACCAGAAGAGTCTAAAAATATGGCGTCTTCAAGTGGCGCTGTGTCGCTCTGCGCAATATAGCCGTCTCGTGAAGGCGACTACACGAGCGAGCCTCGCACGGCCGACACTAGGTGTCGCTCCAACACTTCCCCTCGAGGTGACGGTCGTGTAAAAATGTCCACTAATCAACAACGTCAAGTCCGCACGACTTCGCGCACCTCACATGCTTCGGCTTTGACAGTCCTTTAGTTAAGAAGTCCGCAACTTGATCGTCTGTGGGCACATAACTAACCCTGACTTCTCCGTTCTTGAGAACATCGCGCACGAAATGATGGCGGATGTCTATGTGTTTGCTTCTCCCGTGGAAGGTGGGATTTTCAGCAAGCTGCAGGCAACTTCGGTTGTCGCAATGAATGACCAAGTTAGCTAGGTCGTCAAACCCCAGCTCCCGGAGAAACCTCTGCAAGTACAGACCCTCCTTGACGCACTCCGACAGGGCCATGTACTCCGCCTCCGTTGTGGATAATGCAACCGTCCGTTGCTTCTTCGCTTCCCACGACAAAGGCCCACCGTTCAAAAGGAATACATAACCGGTGTACGATCTCCGGTCCTCAGTGCTCGCTCCCCAGTCGGCGTCGGCGAATGCCCTGATTGGCCCATCGTCCGCTCCGAATGCGAGCCCCACGTTCATCGTCCCCTTCAGGTATCGCAGAACTCTTTTGGCTGCCCTCCAGTGCTCTGGGCCATAGCAGTTGTTAAACTGCCCCAGACGACTCACAGCGAAGGCGATGTCGGGCCTCGTAGTCGATGATAAGTAAATGAGCGCCCCCACGAGCTCGCGGTACGGGAGCGCGAGATCCTCTTGACTCTGGTCGATGTTTTTCTCTAGCTTCGTCCCTAGATCGATCGGCGTTGCGACCGGCTTGCAGTCAGACATGCCGAATCGCGAAAGTACGTCCTTTATGTACCCTCGCTGATGCATCGTTACCCGGCCGTCCTCTCTCTGAAACTCCACGCCCAAACAGTGCTTTACATCTCCCAGGGCCTTAATTTCGAATCGTTGGGCCAACTCTCTTCCTATTTCGGCGATCTTCTTTCGGTTGCGGGACGCGATCAATATGTCGTCCACATAGATCGCGATTAACACCACGTCCCGCCCTGATTTTAGGCGAAACAAACACGGATCTGAGGCCGTCGGGATTGCGCCGAGCCCTTTCAGAGTCGAGTCCAACTTTGTGTACCAGTTCCTACCGGCCTGTCGTAGGCCGTAGAGCGATTTCTTGAGCAAGCAACTCCTGGAGCAGACTGGTGGCCTTCGCTACAATCGAGCTGTCGGTCTCGTTGTCGATGATGCTGCCAAGGGCCATCTGAAGCTCCTTCGGCGGTTCCATGAATACTTCCTCGTTCAGCTCGCCGTTCAGATACGCAGTTTCGACATCAAACTGCTTAATTGCCATGTCGTGGCGGGCGGAGCTGAAACGAGCAACAGGAGCAAATGTCTCGGTAAAGTGTATACCTGGTTGTTGGCTGAAGCCCTGGGCGACTAATCTAGCCTTCCTTCTCTCAAAGGTTCCGTCCGATTTGTACTTGTTTCTGAGGACGATGCGACTCCCCACCACCTTGTCTCGCTGTGGACGCTCCACCAAAGCGAAAGTGTCGTTCTTGATGATGGACGTTAGCTCAGCCACTATGGCCCGTCGCCATTCGTCTGCATCGGGACCGCTCAGCGCCTTTTTCATTGCAACCTCGGATACGAAGCTTTGTTCGATGGCATCGACGATGTTGGCACCGGGATTCGGCACCGACCGAAATTGCTTCCTGGGTCGGCCACGTCGACCTGTTCTTACAATTCTCGGGCGACCTGGAGCCCTCGCACGATCCGCATTGTTGTCATCGTCGATGATGTCGCGCTCGTCATCTTCTTCAGCAGTCGTCACGTCCCGCTCCGACCTATCCTTCGATTCACCGTCGGCGTAGACGCCGTCTGGGACGTCGGCGGGGCGATGGACCTCGACCTCGACCTCGATGACGTTCCGCGGGTCGTTGACCGTCGCCGGCGGCGCTCCACCAGCTGGAGGAGGGTGCACGATCTCGACCGAACGCCGAACCTCCGGCGAAGTCTCTCTGCTCTGTTGGGTCTGAGCAGGATTGTCGACGTGACGCCGTTCCTTGTCGTCCTCTACGAACACGACGTCGCGGTTTATCAGTACGGTCCTTTTTACTGGTGACCAGATTCGGTATGCCTTGGATTCGTCGGCATAACCCAAGAAAACGCCTTCTTCTCCTCGCGGGTCGAACTTCCCTTTCCCCGGTCGCCTGTCTAGGTAGTATACCCTGCTACCGAAAGCTCTGAAATTGGAGATGTCGGGTTTCTTACCGGTCCATGCCTCGTACGGGGTTCCACCACCCAGGCATCTGGTGGGCAGGCGATTTCGCAGGTAATTGGCAGTGTTAACCGCCTCCGCCCAGAACGAGTCCGGTAACCCGGCGTCAATCAAGAGACACCTGGCCGTGTCTAGGAGCGTGCGGTTCTTCCGTTCCGCGGTGCCGTTTTGCTCCGGATTGTACGGCGCCGTCAGCCTCCTCGTAATTCCTCGCGCCTTGAGGAACCGGTCGAAGTCGCGGCTTGTGTACTCGCCGCCGTTGTCCGACTGTAAGCACTTGACGGTTTTCCCCGTCTGGTTCTCGACGAGAGCCAAGTACTCCGTCGTGGCCTGGAACACCTCGTCTTTCGATTTCAGGAATCGAGTCTCGCACCATCTGGACTTGTCGTCGATGAACTCTACGAAGTGCTTCGCGCCTCCGAGAGATGGCGTCCTCATCGGCCCGCACACGTCGGTGTGCACCAGGTCCAGTAGCTGCTCTGTGCGCCGGTTAGAGCACTTTGGGAAGGGGGACCTGGACAACTTCCCCTGGATGCAGATGTCGCACTTAACCGCCTCCGCACAATCCTTCAGCTGGACGCCGCTCACTCGATTATTTCGTATGGCCTCGACGAGGTCCCTCGCGTTCGCGTGTCCCGATCGCTTGTGCAACAGTTCGAGCGGAATTTTGTCCTCACCACAAGCCGAGCGCGCATCATGCTTGTGTCCGCTCACGTAGTATAGGTCTCCTATTCGTTCCGCACACAACAGCACGTTGCCGTCTGGATCCACTACCACCGCTTCGTCGCGCCGAAAACTAACCTCGAGTCCGCGGTCCGTGATTTTGCTCACGGACATTAGATTGGTCCTCAGATCGGGCACATGCAGAGTCTCACTCAACGAAACGTTTGCTGTTTCGCCTAACACGCGAGCCGCGAACTGCACCGTACCAACACCCAATGTCGCGGTAGACGATTCGTTCGCGAGGTTCCAAATACCTGTTTTCGATCTATCGATCTTCGTGAATTGGCCCCCATCATTGCACAAATGCGCTGAGGCCCCACTGTCCAGGCACCAGTCCGAGCTTGGTTTGGCGGTTTCTTCGCGCTCACTCATTCGCAAACATACGTTCCTTGCGTGTTTCGCGCTCCTTTCCTTGCTCCGGCACTCTGATGCCTTGTGCCCTAGTCGCCCGCATTTGAAGCAGCGAAGTTTGGAGCCCCCGTTGTTCCGTCTTCCGTTGGGACTTCCGCCAGCTTCCGCTCTCTCCTTGTTTTCCCGCCAGCCGCCATTTTTGTTATCCCGCCAACCGCCATTTTTGTTATCCCGCCAACCGCCATTTTTGTTGGCGACCATGGCGCCGGACGTGCCGCTTCCGCCGCGTGCGCAGTTCTTGCGCGCGTCGCTCTCTTCCACGACCTTAATGCGCAGCGCTTCCGGCGACGGTAAATCATCTCGCGATTCGATCGCACATCTAAAAACCTCGAAACTCGCGGGTAGGCTGTAAATTAGTGAGATGGCCAGGAGATCCGGATTGATGTCGACGTCCATGTCGTTCAGTTTATCCACGGAGTCGAAGAACTCGCGCAGATGCTCGCGCACGTCGCCCCCATCGTCCATTTTGCATAAGATCAAGCGTTTCAAGAGTGTCGCTTTTCTCGCAGGCCCC